TGAGTGTAGGAGAGGGCCGCCGGTGGTGTGTGGGGATGGACAAGAGAAATATAGAGAGTAATGGGGGGGGGGGAGTTTTTCTTGTGTAAGATACGGTCTTGGGGACTGTGTGGGGTGGGGCTGGAGTGGGAAAGGCGGAGGGTGGGAAGGAGCGGTCGCTCGCCTGAGTGATGCGTCCTGCACTCCCCGATCGAGTACGTGGGCCGTGGGCTTGCACCTGGATTGCAGTGGATAACAACAACAACAACAACAGAGCAGCGGCACAACATTCCATCCCTTTCGCCGCTCCGCTGCTCAGCTCGCTGCTTTCCTCTGTTTTTTCCTTCTCCGCCGCTTGCTCCAGTTATCCTCTCGTTACGTCGCCCATTCGGCTATGACTCCTCTGCTCCTCTTGTTGGCTCATCTGTTGTGTTCCACCGCGTCCTTTTAATAATTCCGAGGGGTGTGAAACTTGACACAACATGTGTTCATCGGGATAATCATTCAGAAACAGTCATGACACAATCACACACAATCGAAAATAGGGTTGGTAAATCGAGAGCATTGATCGATTTTCGATTAAACCATTTTTGAATCGAAATAAAATAATCAATTATCTAAAAAGTCCATTTTTAGGATGCAAAAATCGTTTTTAGCCCGCCCTTCTGCTTTGAAAAAGCTATCCAGCGGGCTTATGCAAACGACCTCGTGTCTGTGTGGCTGAGTGTCTGTGTGTCTGTCTGTGTGTCTGTCTGTCTGTTCCACTAGAAGGAGATGTGCTAGAGACTTCAAATTTTCAGGGTATCTTAAGGTTCACTCCTAGAAAACGAAACGCCTACGGCAAATCCTGGCAACCAACCCTAAGGGGCTGAAAGGGGGTATCAAAGAAAAGGGGGTAGGTAAAAGAAGTCAGAAAAAAATATTTTTTTTATGAGCTCCTAAGAGGTAACTCGTCAAAGTAGAGTCCTAAGGGCGAAAATTTCGTTCGTTTTGCTCTATCTTTTACCGTTTGGGCGCTAGAGGGAGTTTCTCTCACAAAAGTGGCCCAAAAATAAATTTATTAATTTCCGAAATTATTGAATGGTCTCCTAATGGGTACCTTGTCAAAGTAGAGCCCTTTGGGCGAAATTTTCGTCCGTTTGGCTCTATCTCTAACCGATTAGGCGCTAGAGGGTCTTGTTTGACGAAAATAAGTTAAAAATTGCTGTAGTGAACAATTAATTGTAAAAGAAGGCCCAGAACCGCAAAAGGGGGAAGAAACTCCCTCCCCCAGCCCAAAAAACGTTTTCTAAGCAGAAGGGTGGGTTGTAGTCGCGGTGTTTCACCGTTACATCCCTTTCTCGTGTCTACGGAGCAAATTTTAAGGACGACGGGCTTTGCGGGCCGAAGGCCTGTTACATCACTTGATTATGTTCTACAGCAAATCGCGTGACAGAAATGGTCGGGCTGCAGGCCCGACCATCGCCGCCGGCAGGCCAAGCAGGCCCGGCCCCTGCCGAACGGAGTTGCCGGCGCAGCGAAGCGAAGCTGGCAACTTCGTTTGGCGGAAGGGCGGGCCTGCTTGTTATTTTTCCCACGGTGGTTCACGAAGTGGCTGATGTCCCTGGTGAACCCCTACGAATAAAAAGTTAAATCGCGATACCTTTCACTTCCCTTTCACCAGCAATTTGACATCCAAAATGGTCTTTGTTGTATGCCATGCTAAACCACGTACTATGAATGGTGTTTCTGGTCACTTTCAACAGAATAGCGGTATACCGCAACACCTTTTACTTCCCTTTCACCACCAGTTACGTGCAAAAGTTTTTTTTTTTTTTTTGTGGCCACAGTGGTCCATACGGAGTAAAGATGGTGTACCTGGTGAAATCCTAGAAATAAAAACATGAATTGCTTTACCTTTCACATCCCTTTCACCAGCAATTTGACATCCAAAATAGTTTGTTTTTGGCAATGATATACCTCGCACTATGAATGGTGTTTTGAGTCACTTTTAACAGTAAAGCGGTACATTGCAATACCTTTCATTTCCCTTTCACCAACAGTTCGTCATCCAAAATGGTCTTTGTTGTTTGCCAGGGGCGTCGACACCGGGGGGGGCTTGAGGGCAAAGCCCCCCCCAAGTTTTGGCCAGGGGGGGGCAGGGGGGGGCAACGACAAACAAAATAATAGGAGATAAATTAGGAAGTATAACGCTGAAAACCCCTCTAAAATCGATCCTAAGGTGTAAAGCAGAATAGTTTGGCTCTGGCTTCTCGCTCGCTTCGCTCGCGAGTTAAGACGTTACACTATCAATGTATTTAAAACACTAAATTGACCTACTCCTCTCGACGATTGACAAAAATCGACCATTATAAGCGGACTGCCCTTCCAGTCTCCTGGTTATTTGGGGTCGATTCAGTGTAATT